GCCATCCTGCGATGATAGTCAGTCTTCCGTTTTTTATTATGCCATCTTTATTAGTTTGAAGACCGAACTCACCCTTGCTCTAGTAAACCTTTCGAGCCAAGCCCCTTCATTATTATTTGACTGTTAATGTTTCTCGATCTGATAATGCTTCTAAGCTAGGTTTCTCTACCTCTTTTCAATTCTGAGTTTAACTCTTCAGTGTTGATAGACTAGAGTAAAACTTGGTTACTAAGCGTAAAACACCAATATTTATTGAATGTTGCACCAACTTTGTAATTGCATTTTAAGACGCATATTACCTTTCGACACAAAAGAAACAAAGGGGCTCCAATCGAGAAAGGAAAAAAGGAAAAGGATAAAAAAAAAAGCTTCGAACTATTTTAGTCACAATACTTTTAAAATGTCAATGTACTTTTAAAACGTCTTTTTGATTCTTGTAGTTTTAAAAAATGAATTTTATTTTTATCTCATTTCATTTCATCTTCTGACAGTTCACCTACAAAATTTCTTCAAATGTTTGTCATAAATTTATATTAAAAGGTTTCTCTTGTGTATAAAATTTATATTAAAATTTTGCAAATATGAAATAAAATAGTCACTTTTTAGAAGTACAAAGACCAAAATATACGTTTTAGAAAAATAAGTACTAAAATGAACAAAAGTTGAAAGTACACTAACAAAAATGTACATGAACCAAAGTCGAAAGTAGAGGAAAAAAATATACAATCTATGTCGTTTATCTCGAGCTATATTTGGTTATTGTACACCTAGATATATAAGACCACCATGAATACATGATTGTTAGTAAGTTCCTAGTTACCATGGTCCATGGTTACCCATATGACTATGTCCTAACCAGAATAATAAAGTTCTAATTAATTCTACACTTACTTTTGTGTCATTCACAAAGTTTATCACCAAATATCCCCTTATTTCTTTCCAATCAATTGTTCCATAAGATAGTTGAAAAACAAGCCTACAACAGAAAGATTCTTCTCTACCAATGAAGTTAAGAATTACCTCCTATAACAACTTCTTCAGGTTAGTTAAGAAGCAACTTTTGAAAATTTGTAAATACTTGCTTCAAATAAGAGCAAAGAAAGTGCTTCATTGCAGTTAGTGATCTTAGTCCACTGCGGTCTCTCTGAAGAAAACACTACTCAGAACAAAGTTAAATAGAAACTGACCTTTGATCGTGTCGACTGACATCCGGAGTGTTCGAATGGCGCCAATTCTTCGTCGATCCGAAGGAAATAACTCCGCTTTCTTCCTTGACTTGCCACAATCCCAAAAAAGATGCAGGTAATCAACTAAGGACATGAAAACCAGACTATAAAAGTAGAAGCTAGAAGTTAAGGCATCTTAAGGTAAGGATGCAAAGCCCAAACCTTCCTGTCTTCAAAGATTGAGGGTAGACACCTAAGATTCTGAAGTTAAATAGGAAGAACAACCAAGAAGAAGGCAAGACATTGCATTGGCATTGGTAAAGAAGCTTGCAGACAGGTGCGAGATTGTGAATCCAGGACAGTATGTTTCATTAGACCCCTGCTTCTCATACTTATAATTTAACTAGTAAATGTTAATAGGGGAGAGCGGGATAACGTAAACACAGAAGAATAATGTCCGATCCCAGAAAAAAAAGAAACGTGAAATTTTGAATTATAACAAGATACAACACGTTGACGTTCGACAGGAAGGCAAAAGTGTAAAGAGATGCCATTAGGGGTGTTTCACTTGAAGGTAGAGAGTCTTGGGAGTTTGTCTCTCAAATAATACAACCTTGCCCTCCTCACCTTCCTGTGGCTCACCACTTTTATTTCTTTGATGTTTGGTGAGTACCTGCAGTAGAAGTGAGTTCATTATGAGGTCAAATCTATACTTTTAGTTCTAATCCCACAGAAGGAACTAAGCGGGTAATAAAATATTAATCAGGCATCCCACTCGTCAGATTCTTCTTTGTGTAACAACGGGTGACTTCAAATATTTGCATAATATTTGCATTTCATCGAGTTTCGATAACACGTGAGGCCAAGCAAAATTTTCTTTTCATTCCTTTAACATAGATTTGCCATAGCCTGCTTTTCATCAAGCTAAGAGGGGGCCATCAAATATTTGACCCATGTTCTGGTTTCATATCATTGTGATGGATGTGGTGAGGTGATTCTTCTTCTTCCTATTTTTGGCTGTTTTTCACTCATTTTATGTTTAAAATGGAGAAAAGATTCTGGAAAGAAGAGTTTGAGAAATTAGAGACCAAAATGTGCAACAAGGTTCAAGCTTTCTCAGGTCATCCAAACCCAGATAGTTTTTTCAGAATTCTTTAGGAAAAAAAAAAAAAAAAAACTGGGAAGAGAGAGAGGGAAGCAAAATACTACATGTGCTTAATGACTAAATTAACAAGTGAGATTGAAATGGAGCACTTTTCAGAGTAAAAATTAGATTCTGGAAAGAAATCAAATGATGAACTCAATACTTACAGCGGAAATACAATCTCCACACCTACACCAGCAATAATTCTGCGAATTCTAATTGTAGTGTGGATGCCAGCATTTTGTCTTGACATGACAATTCCTCTATAAACAGAAAGCCTACGCTTATTTTCTGGGACTTCCTGTAGTAATAACATTTCAAAAACAAAAAAGTTTTTTTTTTTTTAAAAAAAAAAACGTTACACTTACAAAGAGTTCAGATTATAGAGATTGAGAATGAGATATACCAGTTTAATTTCCACAATGTCACCAGTTCTAATGTCTGGAACAGGCCTTTCTTTCTCTGATGCCTCAACTGCCCGCTTATTAAGTATCTACCCAGAAGGGGAAAAAAATCAACAAAACTAAAATCAGGTCTAAATTAGGCTAAATATAAGTTTAGTCTCAAATAACCGGTTGCTTTTTCAATTTAGTCCCTGAAAATTTCTAATTCCTCAGAATTTCTAAGAAGCAAGCAGAAATTTTGAGTCACTAATCTTTTCTTAGGTGGCCCAATTCCCTATTTAAATTGAAAAATGCCATATAACTGGTAATGAGGAAATTCCTGTATTCTAAACTTTTACGATTGATAGCTGAAATGTTATGTAACAATTCAAACGTTTTGAATCATCGAAGATAATTCAGGAGAAGCCGTATAAAACTGCACTTATAATTGCAAAAATTTTCCGTTCATTAATTTGCAAGAAGAACACCATAGAGTTGGGGAGTGGGGAGAATGGTTAGAATAATTACCCCCATTACATCTCCAAGCTTGACTCGAGGCTTCCTCGGCGGCTCCGACTCCGCAATTGCTTCGGGAGCTTCTTCAACCTCTTGCTCATCACTCGCCGCCTCCGGTTCCGCTTCAGAATCCGCCTCAGCTCTGACAACAAAATCCCGCTTGAGCGGCGCCGCAACAGAGCGGTGGAAATGGCATCCAATTGAGCTCGACCGCGACGAAATAGCAGAAAACGAAACCTGAGTACTACAAGAAATTGCGGAACAAAACCCTAGTTTCCGCGGCGCACATTGCTTGGGATTTCTCGGAATCGAACATACGGCCTGGAAACAAGAAGAGTGAAGTGAATGAAATCGAAGTGGGGAAGGAAAATTTGGAGAGAATGTGAAAAGGCGAGGGGGGAGAGTACCTGAGGAAGAATCTTGGAGGCCATTGATTATGGAGATGGAGCTTCGGAAGGGAGAGAATTACAGATGGAGAGAGAGAGACATGGCAGTTCTCTTTGCTGCAGGAGACGATCTCTTATCCATTATGAAGAAGCCACCATCGCCATCTTTCGGGTCGAACAATATCCGGGTCTGGATCCGGGTCGTCCGACTCGAATACTAATATACAAATAGTTTCCAACTTACCCCTAAACTTATAATTTAATCCTCTTAGTTTAAAATTTGTAACCGAGCGAGCTAGCATATTTTGAGGTTTGACATGTTCAAGATTATTCTCATCATTGTCTATTGAAATTATTAGATTGAAAATATAATTGACAATCCAAATTTTGTTTCTTATTTTCATATTTACTTAATCCAATGTGGATTCAGTGAATATGCAATTTTATGATTCAAATTTTCATATTTACTTAATCAAATGTGGATTCAGTGAATATGCAATTTTATTATTCAAGTAATGTGAATTCTGAAAACAACATTTTTATATTATCATTGTTTTCAAATTTTGAATTTGAAACTTTAAAATGTAGAATTATATTATAATAAAATAAATATATTGATAAATATATTATTTCATGTTATAAACTCATTTTATTATTATTTTTTAATATTAAAATATGTAAAATATAATATATTATAAATTATATAACATTGTAAAGTGATAAATTATACAAAATTTATAACAATTATGTTGATAAATTAATTAATATTATTTTAGATTAAACTAAATATTTAGTTGTTAACTACTCTTAGTTTACAAATGTATTGCTAAAACATTATTGAACATTTTTTAAAAATTAATATTTAATTTACAAATCTACTACCAAATACATATCTAAAAACATTGAAAACAAATAATATAACTATGTTTTTTCATTGAATCCTTTATTTTCATATTTATGTTTTTTTAATACCAACCAAACACATCTAAATATCTTACGATAATTTATAAGTGATTTTAGAAAATGATAAAAGTGATTTTGGCCAAACATATTATTAGCCTTTGACAAAAAATCCCATCAATGTGAAATGTCGTCAAAAAAACATGTTTGGTCTTTTAAGTGATTTTATTGATTAGTATAGATAAGAAATATCCATAAAACTTTAATTCTTTACGTCATAAAATTTTAATTTTTCACGTAATTTGAATCTTAAAATAGGCTAGTTGTGTACTAATCTCATTTTTAACTCAATATGTGCCAAAATCCATGGTCTAAGACCTATGCTTATTTGTTGCACCATGGGCTTTGAAAATGGGCCTCTGTTGGGATTGAGAACATAAGGCCCAATAGTGACAAGTCAAAAAAATCAAATGATGGAGTGGGCTTGGGCTTGGGCTTTTCAAATGCATGGCCCGTTTAAACATTCCAAACACCTAACATGAAGATGAACTTGAGTTAAAAAAAAAAAAAAAGATAAACTAGTGTTATTAAATTTTTTTTTTCTCTTGTTCCTTTTTCTTTTAATTTTAAATAAAAAATTATATGATAAAAGTAATGGGTGTTTTATCATTATTGTTATTTCGATTTCAAATTATATATTTTTACTCTTTTTTATAACAATGATATGTAAGATATTACATTCAATTTCTAGAAAATAATTGGTTCAAAAAAAAAATTTTTTTTGAGGAAAATTGGTTCAAAAATTTTAAAATATTGTTTAATATAAATCTCATACGATACTTGTAGCAAATGACATTGTTACACAAAGTAATCAACATCTTCGAACGGTTTAGACAAACATTTGAAGTCACAACTAATTATTATTGGAGTATGACTAGCCACGGATGTTCACAGGGTGGGACAGAGTCAGAAAGGCTTCCCGGCCCCTCACTTTATTCTCCGTCCTCGTTAAATTCTCCACGAAATTTTGTGGGGATCGAGTTCTCCACAAGAAATTTTCCTCCATTTCTTTTTTATTTTTTAAATATATTTTCCTGATTTTGTTTTTATTTAATGGCTTAATTTCTAGAGATAAAACATCATTCACAAGGTCTAATTCTCTTAAATATATATATTCGGTGGGTGGGTAGGGAAGAATATATGATATTTTTAGTATATGTATATATAAAGTATAATTATTTTAGTGTGTGTATATATATATTAAAAAATGACGCGAGGGGAGGGGGGGACGGGTAACGTATTCCCTTCGTTGTAAGTCTTTCCCCCATTTTTGCCCCACGAGGAATCTAAACAGAGATTTCCCACCCCATTTAGGAGGGTCCTTACGAGAACCCAGCCCAACCAGTAAAATGGACATCCCTACTAGCTACCTACTTACTAAAAACTTGATCATAATTTTTAAAAACTTGTTCTTAGAATTTATTCTATAAAAAAAACTTTTTAAGATTTTTTTTTTCTTACTAGGAAGCCAACAAGATAGCAAGCTATATAAGGCTATAAGTGTGTTGTTTGTTATTGTTAGAGCACATGTGATCATTAATAATCCATCCAAAAAGATGTCCCCTCTTTGAAAGCTCAACTTCAAGCCATATCCATCACTCACTATATATTATTATGTATGATAAAGAAATAATTCTACCATCTTTTTTTACCCACATCAACTAGATTTGCCCCTAATGAAGTAAAAAAAAGTTACCATATGGATCACACGTGCCATTCTATTTTGTTTATTTTCTCATGCGGTTTGTTTATTCTGTTGAACTAAATTAGCATACGTTTGTTTTATAAGAATGTCACGTCATTATAATCTAAAGTTTAATGACAGTGTTGAAACATTTTGAAGTTTATGAACTAGATAGATATAATCATTAATATTATGAACTAAATTTGTGACTTAAACGTGCATAAGAAAATTTTATTTAAGATAAAAAAAAAAAGAAGAAAACTGTGTTTTGTTTTCTACTATCCTACCAAACATTTTAAAAATATTTCTAATGAGTAGTTTGGTTCTACAATCATATAAAGCAACGAGTTATCTTTACGAGATTTCTATTAAGAATTACAAGACCCGTTGAAACATTAAAAAACTCTCTCAAATTATCGAATTAGGTCATCATAATATAAAATTTTCTCTAATAACCGTTGGATGCAAATTCGAAAATCTGCTTCTAATTAATAATTGTTTGATGCAAATTTGAGAGACTCTCTCATTGTTTTTAACCAAAGGACAACTATCGAACATGCATTAAATATTTCTTTTTGTGACGATATCTACTACAAAAACCTTGAAATTTTGGCTTATAACATTTAGCTTTCTTCACTTATGCAATATTGGTCATTTTCTTTAAAGACGATTTAGAAATCGACAAAAATTTGTTGCTCAAATTATTCATCTTAAATTTAAATCTATATTGGGTACAGAATTTTCATCGACATGTCGAAATTTTCGTACGTCCATGAATTCGAGGGGTGAATCGACATTTCTATAATATAGCCAAAAAAAAAGACAAAATATAAAAATATGCATCAACAAAATATCGGCAATAATATCACCATAATATCAATATTAATAATTTTTATTTAAATATTATTTGCTAATTTTAATATTTGTTATCAACTTTTTATTTTTATAAAATTTCAGAAATATCATAGATAACAACATTTCCATAAAATTACTTAAAACGTTGCTATCAATAATATTTATTGAAAATATATTATTTATGTAATTTTATAAATGAGCATTTAATGGCATGACAACAGAAGATAACTGAATTATTTGTGGGTGCCTCAATTATAAATGTAAATTTATTAAAAACTTCAATATCAAACCTTTTTGTTTCTTTTTGTTAATTTTAGAAATGACAAAATTTTTATATCATATAGATCTTTATATATAGATAGCAATAATTAATTTTCAGATTTATAGTAGTAAAACTTGCTACATATAGTTTTTATTTTCAGAATTATTGAATTATTATTTTCAATGATTATTAAATAAGACATGATTTTTTTAATGTATTAAATAAGACATGATAATTGTTGAGATATGACTAATGTACATCCTAAATGATAACATGTAAGATTCTTTAATTATAATTTGCTTATTTTAGTAGTGAATTAAAAAGAAAACATGATATCATAATTAATTGCTCTGGTTTAATGTTTTATTGCTATTGAAATCTTATTAAGCAATTTTCTAATATTATTTAGTATTATATTTCAAGAAAAGAATTAAAAGAGTCGTTTTTTTAGTAAAAAATAGAGTAAGATGGGAAAGATTTTAACATATATGATATCCAGGGAACGAGTGTCTTTACCGTTGAGTTATGTTTATAATTGAATTAAAATTATATATATTTTTGGATTGAACTTACGACCTCTTGGTTTGAAATATATGTCAATTATCGTTGAGCTATACTTTCTTTCATACTCAGTGGTTAAGAAATTGGTAATTTCCTCTTAGATTCTATCCACAAAAAAAAAATTATTATAATCTTGTACGAGATGGTATTAATATAAAATATCTCTATCCTCATAACTCAGTGATTAAGAAATCAGTAATTATCAGAAGTCGAATATATATTCAAGTACCTTCCACACCAATCCCATAATAAAATGTGTTTTCTATTGATTTCCCTTGTTCATAAGGGTAAAAAGAAGATAAATGTGTGCTATTTTCTAACGTTTTAAACTCGGAAATCGTGATTCAAGCTTGGTATAGTATCAAAAACCTTTCATTTTAAGTTATCTTGGGTTATACATGCACATAGGACGTTTTTACATCATTTAGAGTTGATTTCTAACGAAAATTACACTTTTGTGAAGAAAAATATCGAGCTAGGCGCCTGGCGCCTTCCCCAATCCCGAGATTGTCCCTAATGTAAAACACACGTTTTGGTGTGATTTGAAGCCTTCCAAAGCTCTGCCACGTGTCTTCCGTACATTCAAGGTTGCCAATTCAACAACTATCCAACCGAAATGTGTTTGAAATGGATGGCTCTCCACAAAGCTCACAACTTCCTAACCACCTTGAAGTCTCTATAAATTCAGCAACTCATTCTCTTCATTTATCATCCCGAAGTGATCATTTCAGCTTTAGTCATTTACTTCTCAGCTTATTTACGTTTTCTCTTTTAGTTTTTGAGTTTTTATTGTTTTAAACATTGCTTATT